TCCATTTGCCATCTGTAAAATGGGGGTGACAATAACACTTACACCTCAGAGGGGCATTGCGGAAATTAACTGAGTCACATCTAAGGTATTTAGAGGAGGGCCTTATACAGGGCCAGAGATAATAACGTGATTATTAGCCATGATTCAAAACACCCTTGCCATCTCCATCCTAAGCTGGTCATGACCAGGCTCACGCTTCACTCTGGGGTCTGGTGAGGGCATTAGGAGCAGAAGGGACAGGAACTCACACACACAAAGCCCTCCACGTGCCAGGCACTGGGCATGGCACGTCACGTGGGTTTTCAAATTTGAGCCTCCCTGAGACACGAAGAGCTCTGGACTCTCCCATCCTGGGTCAGAGGAAACAGGCTCAGAGGGGCTCGGCGCCTCACCCCAAATTACATAGCAGCAAAGAGACAGACTTGGAAAACTCACTCCAAACCCCTGTTCTTTCCACGGCACCGTCTGTCCCCCATGGAGGAGAAGGAAACCTGGGCAGGTGGGGCCATGGATCGCCCTCCCTTGAGTCCCTGGCTGCGGCTCCAGGGATGCTGGCCACAGTAGGATGTCAGCCCTGCATCTGAGCCATGCCGAAAACCTATGCAGACATGTATGTGCTTCGAGCCCTTTGTAGGGAAGGCACAAAAAAAAAGGGAAAGAAATAGAACAGCCTGGCTAAGCTGAAATGCTCTCCTTAGAGGGGAAGGGAAATAAAATTTGATGAACCTCTGCATAATGTTCAAGTTATGAATGTGTAAAGTGATATTCTGCACATATGCTGAGAAGAATTCATCTTGGGGCTGAGCTGTTAGGAGCCATTGGAACTGGGGCACCAGCAAACAGCAGCTTCTTGTTGATGGGGTACGGAGAGGTCCTGTCTTCTGCCTCAGCAAAACGAGGTGCGTTTTACCCACAGATGCCGCAGGAGGTGAATCTCCGTAGCAGGGGTGGCAACTGACCGCAGTGCTAACGGGGCAGCTTTAGACATCTGGTTGCTTATGTGTCTACTGCAAACACTTGCTGAGTGCCCACTCCGGGCCCTGGGCCAGGCTGGGCATTGCCACCATCCACAGCCTCAGACGAGGTGAGCTGCGTGCCAGGTTAGCCGGATCTTCCTGGCCACTGCTGCCTGGCCTGGGACTGAACACCTGGCCTACACCGGGCGATCACATCCTCTCTCCTGGGGCTTTGGCATGGAAGTGCTGGGATGCTGAATCAGCGAGATGATGGTAGAGATGGAAATAAAAGAGCATGAGGGAGCCAGGGCTGAAGCCTCCAAAGATGAGAGTCCAGTTCAGTCAATCACCAGAAAACTCTAAATGAGCTCCTAGTGGGTGCCTGGTCCAGTTCTAGGTGCCTGGTTCACAGTGGGAAACAAGATGGCAGAGGTCTTCTATTCCAGAGCTCACAGTCTGCAAACTGGCAAACAAATAAAGAAAATCCTGGCAGATTGTATCAGGTGCTATGAAAAAATAGAAATGGTGCCAGGCATAGAGGCTCATGCCTGTAATCTCAGCACTTTGGGAGGCAGAGGTCAGAGGATGGCTTGAGGCTGGGAGTTTGAGGAGATCTGGGGCAATCGATAGCAAGACCCCCATCTTTACCAAAAATGAAAAAATTAGCCAGTCATGGTGGCGCATGTTACTTGGGAGGCCAAGGTGGGAGGATCACTTGAGCCCAGGAGGTCGAGGCTGCAGTGAGCTGTGCTTGTGTCACTGTACTCAGTCTGGGTGACTGATATGGTTTAGCTGTGTCCACCCAAATCTCATCTTGAATTGGAGTTCTCGTAATCCTCGTCTGTCGTGGGAGGGATCCAATGGGAGGTAATTGAATCATGAGGACAATTACCCCTATACTGTTCTCATGATAGTGAGTTCTCATGAGATCTAATGGCTTCATAAGGGACTTTTCCCCACTTTGCTCGGCACTTCTCCTTGCTGCCGCCATGTGAAGAAGGACGTGTTTGCTTCCCCTTCTGCCTTGCTTGTAAGTTTCCTGAGGCCTCCCCAGCCCTGCTGAACTGTGTCAATTAAACCTCTTTCCTTGATAAATTACCCAGTCTCAGTTATGTCTTTATTAGCAGCATGAGAATGGACTAATACAGCAACAGAGTGAGACCCTGTCTCCAAAATATAAAAAATAGCAACGAGCTAGAGTATCTAGGATAAGGTTGTGGGGAGTGTGTGTTTAGACCCAGTGATTAGGAGAGGCCTCACAGGAACATCCTGAGGCACGGTAAGTAGAAAGGTCCCAAGGTGGGGATGCACTTGGAGTGCCTGAGGGATGAAAAGGAGGCCGATGTGGCTGGGGAAAGACACAGTGGCAGGCTGAGACAGGGGCTTGTAACAGAGTACCTGTGTGGGCCTCCCCACCCCATGCTTCTCTGCTGACTGAAGCCCTCCCAAGTGCCCCACAGGGAGTCCAGCTCCTCAATGCTGCCCCACCCTGCAGCCTCCTGTCCCTTTCCTCCTCCTCTGCTGAGTGCTAAGGATGTGCAGTGATGCCTTCCCTGCCACCGAAAGGCATTAATGCCCTTCTCCTTCAGCTCCCCCGGAAGCAGACCCTGTGATAAGGATTTGGGTACAGGTAGTTTTCTTGAGGGGAGGTGGTCCCAGGAACAATGGGTAGGGAAGAGGGTAAGTGCGACACGGAAGGGACGGAGCCAGTAGAGGATGTGATAAAGGCTGATCCCTGCTAAGGGCACCTGGAGACCAGTCCCACGGCAAAGCATGCCCCAGGCTGTTTTGCAACCAAGGGTGGGAAAGTGGGTCTTTATCCCTCAACACCCAGCAACTCCTGACAGCATCAGTCTCCTGGGCATTCCAGTAAGCCCCACGTGTCGGGCAAAGCAGATTCTGGGATCAGAGAGGGTCCTCAGGCTGAGAGTCACATGGACTTGTGAGAAGCCCCCAACCTGCGCATGAACTGCAAGTACTGAGCAGATCTGTCCAGGGCATAACAGCACCTGCATGGGCTCGAGCAGCTGCTTGAGTTGAAATCCTGGGGCTGCCTCTTGCATCTGGGTAGCCTGATTCTGAGGCACTGCCAGCTCTGATTTTCTTCATTCTAGGAAATAGGCACGCAGACCTGGGCCCCAACTCCCCCTCCATCACTGTGCAACCTTACATAAGTGTCTTAACTTCTCTAAGCCTCAGTTTTCCTCATCTGTAAAATGGGGCTAATAGGCCTAACTGCATAGTGAAGTCTTAAGGATGAAATGAAATGCCTAGGCACAGGGCCTGGCACACAACATGTGCTCCATAAATGGCAGTTATGATGGTTGACTCTGACTTAGGGTTGCTGTTCTACATCCCCTCTCTCAAGAGGAGAGACTGAGAGCATAGGGACCCCAGGCCAGATTGGCCATTCGTGGGTACCTCTAGATACTGCTACTGATTGGGATAGGTCTGGGAGATGGACAGAGCTCAGAAAGAGTAACATAGGCTGTGATTCTTCAAGGCCTGCCACAAACACAGGCACAGCAGCTCTAGGGATATGGGCTGAGCTAAAGAGGGCAGCAGCCCCTGACAGCCCAGAAGAGACTGGAGCAGCTAGCATGGTGTAGATTGGCACTAGGTTGGAGAGTGGCAGTGGTAGCTGGCCCATAGGAGCAGTTCTGGGTGAAGCCAGGAGAGCAGTACAGAGTGAGGTGGATACAGCAGTAACAATGAACTCACCCCCTGGAGGGAGGGCTCAGAAATTTCAGGTTTCAGGCTGCTGATGCTCTCTCTGAGTGGCTTCATCAGAAGAAGGTGTCTGGGAGGAGTTCTGCCTAAGGATATCTCCAGCTTCTGAACTCCTGAAATTCATCCAGCCAGCCATCTGCCTGTCTGTCCTTCCACTCATAGCTACTCATCTATACCTCTGCCTTCTTACTTATCAATCCGTTCATCCAACCATTCATCCATCTACCCATCCACCCACTCACCAATCCATCCATCCATCCATCCATCCATCCATCCATCCATCCCTCCACCTACCCATCCACCACTCATCCATTCATCCATCCATCCCTCCACCCACCCATCCACCACTCATCCATCCATCCATCCATCCATCTATCCACCTGTCTGTCCACTTGTCCATCCATCCATTCACCTACTATCCACCCTATCCACCCAATCATCCATCTATCCATCCATCCCTCCACCTACCCATCCACCACTCATCCATCCATCCATCCATCCATCCATCCATCCATCCACCCGTCTGTCCACTTGTCCATCCATCCATTCACCTACCTATCCACCCTATCCACCCAATCATCCATCTATCCATCCATCCATCCATCCATCCATCCATCCATCCACCCGTCTGTCCACTTGTCCATCCATCCATTCACCTACCTATCCACCCTATCCACCCAATCATCCATCTATCCATCCATCCATCCATCCATCCATCACGTATCCATCCACTCACTCATCTATTCATCCATCCATTCATCTAGCCATCCATCTACCTACCCATCCACCCACTCACCTGTCTAGCCATCTATCTATCCATCTACCCACCCACTGTTTATTGTCACCTCCTCTATTCCCAGCTGCACTCTGAAGACTCGGGTGATTACGTGTAGTTCCTGACATTGAGAAGCCATCCTCCTCCTGCAGCCATCACCAGTCCCACAGCTGGGTCCTCTTTTCCCTCAATGCCATGACAGAGCCCAAGAAGGAAACCTTGGTTCAGCTTCTTTATCTCTTTATCATGGTTCCAAGAAGCATAGGACCTAATGGTAAATGCTCAAACTTGGTTCCCTTCTGGGTTTCTAGTGCTTTGATCACATAAGCCCAAAGCAACCTCATGATCCATAAAACATTAAAATATCCCAGAAATTCCGCCATAGTGATGTCCAAACTCTACCTTCTTCCGCCTCCCCCCTCTATAACCTCTGTCATACCATTCACTCCAGTTTTCGACTGGGGCCCGGTGGCCACTGAGGCCAGGCCATGGACTTCAGAGTCCCCGTGGTGGCCAGAGGTAACCCCCTGTGCACTGACCTCTCCCGGAAGTACTTGATGGCCTCAGGGTCTATGAAGGTCGGCTCCTCCCGGTAGCCCTGCTCAAAGACCTTGCGCTTGTGCCGGAACTCAATGACCGTCTTGGTGTAGGAGTTGAGCGTGGTGACAGAGGCTGCCATGCAGCAGGTAAAGGAGCCCCACGCCAGGCTGCCAAGAGATCAGGAGAGAGATGCCATGGTGAGGGTGGGTGAGGGACAGGAAAAATTCCACACCCACCAAACATTCATTCATCCCTGCACAGCTGCTTTTTCCTCTGGTACCTAAGCAGGTGCTGCCATAGAGAAGGGTAAGAGTTGGTCCCTGCCCCACTCACAGTCTGGGAGACAGAGAATTATCTGCACACTGTGATGCAGCTATAACAGAGTTCATTATGGGGAGGCAAGAAGAGCATGAATCACTCTGTCCAAGGGGGCTGGCATCAAGGAAAGTTACCCAAAATACAGCGACACTTATGCTCGGCCTGGTAAGAAGAGTGAGAGTTGGTCAGGGGAAAGGACATTCCAGGAGAAGGAATAGTGTGTACAAAGGCATGGAGGCATCAGACAGCAGGGAATGTTCCACAAACTGTGGGAGGTTTGGGGAGCAGAAATGAGGATGCATGAGGAGATTAGCTGGAGTTGGTGATGGAGAAGGAGATGGGGGCAGACATCCTAAAAACTCATTTTTTATGAAAGTTAAGTTACCTTTGTTCATGTATGACCTGGGGAAAGATGCCAACCCTTTCTGTTTCACATTCCTCATGACTATTTTTTTTTTTTTAAGACAGGGATTCACTCTGTTGCCCAGGCTGAAGTGCAATGGTGTGATCATAACTTACTGCAGCCTCAACTTCCTGGGCTCAAGTGATCCTCCTGCCTCAGCCTCCCAAAGTACTGGGATTATAGGTATGTGTCACTCCTCCCAGTACCTCACGTCATTGTAATGGACAATAGCATTACCTCATAGGGTTGTTACAAGGATTAAAGGAGATGATCCACTAAAACTATCTTAGAATAGTGTCCAGCACATAGTAGGCACTCAAGAAAGTCTTGCTGTCATTATTATCATTAATATTAACATCCTCACTACCCAATTCCATATGATTTGGTTTGTAAACTCTCCTCCTGAGAGATGAGGTTATAATGAATGACCTGCTTGGCTCTCTCCTCCACAACTTTCTCTACAGCTGGGACTTTTGGCAGCCCTCATTTGATGTACATGCTAAGCCCAGCCCAAACGTGGAGAATTTATCCCATCCACAGTTGGAAAGGTAGGAAGGGTGGGGTAGAGCTAGGAGACTCAGCTGACCCAGTTCCAGCTCCAGAAATGGCCTGCCTGATTCCTCTCATCAAGACTATGCATTCAACATTTAGTACCAGGAGTAGGGTACCTGCCTGGCCTCAGTTACATCTGGCCTGGTTCCTGGATCCCTGTTCCTCAGTCTCTGCCTTGGTAACTGGTTTCCTCCAAATCAGGGACTCAGTTTTGTTGTTCCAACCCTGCATTGCCTGGGAGCTCCAGGCCTCCCCAATGCCAGCCCACCCAGCTGGCCTCTGAACATCATCACCACCCCTTCATTCCCCATGGTCAATGAAGCCCACTGCCTGCACCCACTGCTTTTCCCTTTGACAGCCCCTGAGCACCCCAGAAGGAAAGCAAGGAAAAAATCTGAGGACTCAGCCTTTCTCAAAGAGATCCTCAAAAGGATCATCTGTTTCCCTGAACACCAAACCCATTGATAAGAGTTCCCGTTTCTTTCATGATAAGGAGCTGATGTAGATCTTCCAGAAGCCCTGAGTGTCTGTAATAGACAGTTTTAGGGCATCAACCTGGCCCCTCTAAGAGCTTCCCTTTCCACCAAAGTGTCCAGTGTGTTACTCACCAACCCCCACCATTCATAGATGACCAGTCAAGGGCTGACCATCTGGCCAAAGCTGGTCCAATCTGATACTCTCTCCTGAGCAACAAAGCTGAAGATTCTACTTCAGCCTGGGATGTCTATTTATACTAGCATGGTGGAAACTCAGAACCCGAGGATGGAGAATGAACAAGTAGGCTTTTTCTGGATTCCATGAGTATGGAGTATGTTGGTGTTGCCTGATCATAAGCCATTCTTCCTTTTGGTAACTGCACTCCAAGGTTCTGTTAAGGGATCACTCCTTCCTTCTTCTCAGGCCATTAGGTTTGTGTGGGGCTGGCCCCAACCCCAACCTCTATGTGAGCACATGACCTCAGCCTGGCTAATGAAAATGTTGCTGTTCTCTGGCCATAGTAATTGGTTGGGGGTGGGCACGTGACCCAAGTCAGGTTCATGAGACTCAACCCCTGAACTTGGCTGAAGCTACTGGGAAACAAAGCTCATCTTTCTTCTGTGGTGCTAAGCTGGTGAGGTTTGAGCCAAGAGTTGCTGGGGACCCTCTTGCCACCACCCAGCCTGAGAATGAAGTTGACCCAAAAGAAAGCAGAGCCATGAAAAGGGGCTTGATCCCTGAGCTGAAGCCATTATCCCTGAACTTTTCAATGATGGAAGTCTCAATTCCTTTCTTTTTAATTTTGTTTTCCTTGACTTTTGTTTCTACCCTGAAGCCAGTTTGAATTGGGTTTTGGTCACTGGGAACCAAAGTTATCATACGTTTACTTGCTATAAATTCTCTTCTTTTGCATGAGTTAGTTTTGACACGAATTTCGAGTCTTTATAGCCAAGGATCTTAAGGGTGACCAAGACTGACTCAACCCTGATGTCCCAGTCAGGGGACAGAGCAGGGGATTCTCAAACTAAAGGCTTGAGCAAAAATACCTTTCAGGAGTGGTGGAGTCCAATGACTGAGTGTGTGGAGGGAGCTTCCCTGGGGAGGGAGGGGGTTTGCTAGAGCCCAGGGGCCCCAGAAACAGATGATATGGGGTGGAGCAGAGCCAGACAGTCAATGGGTGGACAGGTGCAAAGTCAGACTGAGCTAGAAGAAAAGCCTACATCCCCGCCTTTCCATCTACTTTACATGCAAGATCTTTTTTCAAATAACATGTCATCCAGAGCTTGATTCCTCAGGCTTTCTGCATCCCAGCCCTATGGTCTCTTTTCCACTCCTCAAAAACCCAAAGCTCATTCTCTGCCCTACCTCCCCCATTGCCTTCCCTCCCTCTGGAATCCCTGGACTTTCCCAGGCTCTTTGCCCAGCTGGTCCCTTCTCACCTGTGAATGTCACCCCTTCCTTAGTGGGCATTTTCTGTCTACTATCTCTAAGAAGCCCCCTCTCCATCACTCTGTATCACATGCCCCTGTTTAGTTTCATCACAGCCCTCATTACACCCTGTAATTCTCTTTATCTTTTTTCCTTTCATTTGTTTGCTCTTGTTTTTAAATTTTTCCTTTTGAGATAATTACAGATTCACAAACAGCTGTAGGAAATTATATATAGAGAGAACCCAGGTACCCTTTAGCCAGTTTTCCCCAATGGTAAACTCTTGCAAAACTAGTGTAATACAATATTACAATATCACAAGCAGGATATTGACATTGATACAGTCAAAATACAGACCAAGGATCTCTTCTGTGCCATTTATACCTACGGCCACTTCCTGCCTGATCTCCCACAAATCCTGTCGGCCACCAGTTCTTCATTTCAATAATTTTACCTCTTCAAACATTTTACATAAATAAAATCATACAGGAGTATGTATGGGATTGGCTTTTTTTCACCCAACATGATTATCTGGAGAATCATCCAAGTTATTGTGTGCATCAGTAGTTTGTTCCTTTATATTGCTAAATACAGTATTCCTGCCAGCAATGTATGAGTTTCTCCACATCCTCACCAGAATTTGGTGGTGTCACTATTTTTTATTTTAGCTATTCTGATAGACGTGTAATAATATCTCATTGTGGCTTTAATTTGAACTTCCCTAACAGCTAATAGGGTTGAACAACTTTTCGTTTATTTGCTATCTGTATATCCTCTTTGGCAAAATGTCTATTGGTGTTTTTTGCCCACTTTCTAATTGGATTGTTCTGTTGTTTCCTACTGAGTTTTCAGAGGTCTTTATATATCCTAGATATTAGTTCTTTGTCAGAAATGTGGTTTACAAATATATTCTCTCAGTCTATAGCTTTCTCTTAAACCTCTTAATAGGGTCTTTTGTGGACCAAAAGTATTTAGTTTTGATGAATTACAATTAATCCATTTTTCCTTTTATGTGTTCAATATCAAATATAAGAACTTTTTGCCTAGCCCTAGATTCCAAAGATTTTCTCTTATTTTTCTAAAGGTTTTACAGTTTTACATTTTATACTTAAATCTGTGATCCATTTTAAATTAATTTTTGCAAGTGGTGTGCAGTTTAAAGTAAGGCTGATTGTTTATCTTTGCCAGTGAATGTCCAATAGCTCCAGCACTATTTGTTGAAAAGGCCATTCCCTGTCCACCCCACCCCCCCGCCCCACCACCACACACACACACAGTGAACTGATTTGTGCCTTTGTCAAAAATTAGTTGGGCGTATCTGTATTGGTCTATTTCTGAGTTCTCTATTTTTTTTTCATTGATCTATGTGCCTTTCCTTCCACTAATATCACACAGCCTGGATTATTGTAGCTATACAGTAAGTTTTGAAATTGAGTACTCTAATTCATTCTGCCTTATTCTTCTTTATCAAAATTGTTTTAGAAATTCTAATTCCTTTGCCTTTCCATATATATTTTAGAATACTTTTCTCTATATCTACAAGAAATTTGATGTATTCACTATATATTGTGTGTTCTGATCCATGAACATAGTATATCTACCCATTTATTTAGATCTTCTTTGATTTCTTTCTTTGGTATTTTTCTACGGTTTACAGTTTTCAGTGTACAAGTCCTGTAAGTGTTTTGTTACATTTATGCCTAAGTATTTTGCTTTTTTAGTATAAATGATATATATTTTTAATTTTGTTGTCCAAATGTTCATTGCTAGTTTATAAAAATACAATTGATTTTGTATTTTTATCTTCTATCCTAAGACAGCACTAAACTTATTTATTAAGTCTAGGCTTTTTTTTGGTAGATCCCTTGGATTTGTCTACGCAGATAATTATGACATCTACAAATAGGTATAGTTTATTTCTATTACAATCTGTATACCTTTTATTTTCTTTTCATGTCTTATGTCTTGCATGTCTTTTATGTCTTATTT